ATTACTTTGGGGGCACAAATCCCTTCCGAGGTTAGTCATCGATCTCGCCTGACTGTATGATCTGGAAGATGCATGCAAGGGGGGGGGAAGATCTAATGAACCATTTGTTTATTTGGGCGCATTTTGAGCGCACGTTAGCGGGGATTCTGAAATGTGTTTTAGATTAACAAGTTATTCAAGTAGGGTTGTCATATTAACGCGCATATTACCTAATCCCAAGATAGCCCAGTCACTCTAGGACGCTGTAGGAAAGTTCACCATTGTTCTCCTATGCCCATATTTTTTAAGGAAGATTAGTTGTGTAGTCACCTTAACAAGACAAAGGAGCAGAGACCGACCACAATAACTGTGGCTTTGAGCCTTAATTGCGAGGAAATTAGCTTTCAGATTAGGGTAAGAGGTTGGGTTAAGTTCGGGGTTGGCTTAGGGATGGGGCTACCGTTCGGAGTATGTTGAGTTAAGCTTTGGGTTCCTGTTAACTGTAGGACTGGAGTTAAAACTAAGGTAACAGTTGAGTTTTAGGTCAGTGCGCCCCTCTGTCCGTGGGCTGTAAAGGCTGTCATACAAATCAACCTTACCATATATTTTGTAGAAAACATGCACGAAACTATTCATTCTCAATGGCAAATTTTATATTTTTTAAATAAAATTTTATATTTAGGAAATTTTTAAATCCGCGCGTCGTATGTCTCTATTTAGTAAGGCTCCTGAAAAGGTATGCAACACCTTGCACATCCACCGCATACTTTATGAGCACAATGTATAACTTTCTTTAAAGCATCGAGGAGTGTGTGATTTTTCCTCCACAGAAACAATACAATGTTGAAATCCTTAAATTTAAGTGTAACGACGGGTCGGGTTCAAAATTACTTGAGAAGTGCAAACGCTTTTTAAATCACAATGTACCCTTTTCTCAAGTAAATAATTTTAAAAAGACGTAGGTTGAATCTTGCTAAAACATTTAATAGCTAGTAACTACCATCTCATGCATTTGAGAAAGCTCGGGCTGACGCTAGCACATTGCTGAATTAAAGTAAACAAAAAACGTTACTTATAACGTAATAATAGGCTATAAATATAAATTTATCTGACCAGCGATTTCGATGGTCCCCTTGCAATCATTGATACTTGCTCATATGACGAAGGAAAAGCGTTTGAGCGATTGCAGTTGTTATGTTCTATTTTTACAACGACAAAACAATGCAATCGATGACTTGAATGTGTTCTATATTTGTTAGAATTTCCGCAAGAAATGGAGCTTGAACAGATGGAGAACTTTGGACGCAAGGATGGGCGTGGCCAACCAAAGAAGGGTGAGCCGACAATTTGCGATCTCTTGCTGACCTTGGAGGAAATTTACAATGGATGCATCAAGAAGATGACTATTACACGCAGGGTGAGTTAAGAGATATTTATGATTGTAAAGTTGAACCTATATTAATAGCAATTGGAGGTTGTATGGGGCACTATAATTTAAAAAGGGCTTACGTGGGAGGATATTTGGTTGATCAATGCACCGTATATAACCCCTCAACCGTAACTAGGTAGCGTGACTACTACTCTCTCAAGTAATGGAGGGTAAATGGCAATAAGGTAAGTAGGAGATAGGAAAACAAATCACAAATCACGCAAGAGGCTGCTTCTTTGAAACCTGGAGGAAGTAGATAAAATTCTACATAGAAAGGAAGGCAACTAGGGAATTAGACTGTGCTAGTATACAGTTTAATGCTTTATTTAACTGCGCCTCTCATACCAACAGCAACCGAACATCGGTTAAACGTAGTCAACCAGTACTTCGATCATCCTCATCTCCAAGTTCAGTCCAGGCGTTCACTCATTCCATCATCCTGCCTAACATGCTTGAGCGAGGGTACTGAATTCAATGAACCTTCTAGGTCTAACATTTGGCAGTTCAGGCCTGTTGTTCGAGTTCCAGAACGCGAAATTAAGTCAAAACTTTCAGCCAATACTGAAAAAAAATAAATGAGTCCAGTCCTCGAGTATTTTGGATGGCAGAAATACCCACCTGCCTGGTAGTTCAATTGCGTAGGCCTATAGGGTATCCCGACGGCGTGGCAATCAGGCCTGGGGCCATTGAATAGAACCCTAGTTCTCCTGCTTGTTTCATGGGCTTCGAAGGTAGAGACGAATCCAGTTCAATAAGAATGAGCTTGAACGCTGTCCAGAGAAATTCAGGATTAGTCTTATGTGCGCTTTGTTCTGTCAACAGGCATAGATAAGACTTCGTTCAGATGCTTCCCAGCTAACAGATTGTCTGGACATATTTTTG